TATTAGATTGGAAAGAAAAGAATGTCGCTTTTTTCGGGTTCTCTCGGCTAAAATTGATATCTCGGCTAAAATTGATATATCTTAAGAACCAAACCATATCCGAGCCCAAGATTTTAGATTCAAAGTTACAAAGGTATAATGTATACAATGACTTTTACAAGAGCAGCCTAGGACCACTGGGAGCGGAGTTTGCCATTTTTCGTTTTTCAATTTTTTCTTGATTTTCAATTATGAAAAAAAATATAGCAAGTATACCAAGGGATAGCTGCATGTGTCTGTTACATGCGGGAGCAAATGAGAAGCGGCCGATCAGACAAACATTTTTCCCTTTGGATTAGTTGTAGAGCGTGATTGCTCATAGAAGATGTTATTTAACCGTTTTCCACTGCAAGCTACCTTTTTTGCCAGCAGCAGTAAAAACCTATTCTGTACATCTTCCTTTCTCCGACTGCGAAATATGTTCGAGAAAACGGCGGAATCGGCCTTCACCTGGAGACTGACATGTTTGAAATCACGGTCAATTAGATTTCTTTACGCAAGCGCGTCCCTAGCAGTCCTCCAGGTCAATGTTGTAATTGGAATAGTTAGCAATCAGCAGCGCATTAACTACCTTGCAGTCCACACGTATATTTATTGGATAAACAATGAATTCATAGCCTATGTTCCAGGCAAACGAATGGTATACTGAGGGTTGAGCCAGACAGCGCAGTGTACACCGCGTACGCTCCATATTCTTATGCACGTGAGCTGCACACGTTTGCCGCGGAGTCTGGGCCAGCCCTGACATGACAGCTATGATGAGAGAGGAAATATAAGACAAAAACTAACTGGTATAGACCCTGGTTTACTAGAAACACCAAGAAATTCTCCGAGTTAGAGCTGCTTAATGAAGCTTTTCCACTTGGCAATTCTAGAGTTTGTCCAAGTGATGCAAGAAAAATATGATTCTGTAGCATCCTTAGACGGAGAACATATCCAAATCAAGGTGCCTCGGCATACACATCTTCCGATCCCTCATCATGACTTATGATGTGGGAGTTGCAAGAAACGCTGCAATGCTGTGGTGTTTCGCGGTTTACCTCAAAGGCAATGTCCAGCAGACTTACGATTATGTCCTTTCGTGGTTTTAGGGTCTTCTCGGCTCTCAACCCGAATATGGGCTCTGGACAGCCAAACAGGACGTTTTCGTAGTTTTCAGGGAAGGAGTTTGGATAGAGCTTGTATGGGAAACGCAGGTTTGTCACGAAGACCTTTACGCATTTTTGCATTGATTGATAAGGATAATGCGCGAATGTAGTGGTGGTCCCGCATAGACTTAAGTGAAGTCGTCTGGCTCGCCATCCTGAAGCTCCCGTTTTAGATACCAGTAGAAAT